AGTGTGGCGGGCCGGCACATCGCTCGCTGCGGGCTTGTTGCCGCGCTGTCTGCGGCACAGCCGCATCCCAGACTGACTGCGCAGACCCAGCCTGGGGGCTCTGCCTGGGGCTTTCTCGGTCGTAGCTGCCCGAAGGCTTTATGGGAGCAGCAGAGCTCGCTCTGGCAGCCCTGGCGCGTGTGGGCTGTTCTCAAAGTTCAGAGTCAGACAGCGCTCCCCTACCCTGGGGCGAGATCCCTGATGCCTGCACGGTACCAGGCGGGTTCCCTGGTAGTTGTGGTTTGTGCAGGTTTATGCTGTGCAAATAAGGTCTCCCGATTTCCCTGTGGGTTCAGGTTATTCCAGTTACGAGTAAAAGCCTTCTGCAAGTGTGCCAGTAATGTTCAGGGAGCTAATCCCAGGAAAGAGATGAAAAATAACCCTGAAAAGTATTAGCTTAGCGTGAACAGTAGATACCTAGGCAATTCCCAGGGACGTATTCAAACCCGGTGTTTGTAGCTGAGCGTAGCTTGTGTGTTCCTGCTCCTTCCCTCCTCTGTGGGATGAATCCCCAAGAAGAAGAGAGAGACTGTGACTGCCTGTGTCTTAGCCCTTCTGCCTACCTCCTCTCTCGCTGTCCTTGCGCCCTCTGGGATTTGAGGACAGTAAGCGTGTGCTGACACTCGCTTCAGCTCTCCTTGAAAATTACTCCCCGGGAAGCAGTTAGCACAGAGGAGCGTTGGCTTGCGTGTGGCACACTAGTCTGATAACAAAGCTTTTGCCTTCAGTGAGAGAGAACTTTCTGTTGAAGCCAGTGGCTTTGTCTTGTGGGAGCAGAGGCCGAATGGATGCTTCCGCGGTGCTTGCTCTGTGCGTTCCCTGCCTACAGCAGTGGTGTTCCAGGACTGACTGTAGGGTCAGGGCTCTTCTTCCTCCAGCACATCCACCATCTGGCAGAACATGCTGGTGGAATGGACTGGTTTCTGAAGGAAGCTGAAGATGCTGAGCACTGTCCCTAGGGAATCTTCCTTGAGTGAACAGACACTCTGCCCGTTGTTCTTTTAGTTTTTGTTTCCTTGACTGTGGCAATGGGGTTTGAAAAGAGAGGACACAGGAAACAGAAGCCAGTGCCCCTTTAATTCTGTGACCTGCAAAGTAATCCACACGGGAGCGCTCATAGAATCGTAGAATCATTTAGGTTGGAAAAGACCTTTAAGATCACCGGGTCTAACCAATGATCCTCCTCCCTCTGTGCACTGGAGTTCCTCCATAAAGTGTTTTCCTGGAAGCTCGTTTGCGTCCTTGAAAGACCAGTCTAAGCTCTTCCTTAACACAGAATCTTTGTGGTGCATTTGCTTCCCTGTCCACCTCAGCTTGGACTGTGAGTGCTGGACAAGCTACCCCTTCCCTGGCAGCCCGCTGCTGCAAAGGATGGCTACCAGAGGGTTTGGCTTTGGTTACACTGGGACAGCTCAGGGATTTTGGTCTGACCGAGTGTGGCAGCAAATGCTGCTGTTCCTGAGGAGCGCCAGCGGCTTAGGTAGGTGAATGCAGTACAGAGCACTTCCTGCTTGTAGCGAAACAGATGAGACCTGGAAATGCAAATTTTTTGCAGATAGCACTGAACGCTGCAGCACCTGAGGCGCTATGCAGATGAGAGCAAGAGCTTACTGTCTGTGCTGACAGAGCCTGTACCTCCAGGGGTGGAGGACTGAAAGCTTTGAGGGTGTCCTCTCGTTCTGTTCCTCTTCCAAGAATGTGATGGAGGCAGGAGGGTGCCCTGCTGAGTGCAGGTAGCAGCACTGCTGCTGGGAGCAGGGAAGCTGCAACAGGGTGCGGTGGCTCTGCCGGGACTAGCCATGGGGCCGCTGGCACGTGGCTTGTGCTGCTAAGGGATTTTGTCTTTGCAGAGCTTCCTGAGAGCTGGGCTGATATGCAGGAGCCACTGCTTGAAGGGATGTGCTTCACACTCAAGTATCTAGGCATGACGCTGGTAGAAAAACCCAAAGGAGAAGACATGGCTGCTGCTGCCATCCGCCGGATCGTTGCCACGGTGAGAGCTGGCCCTGAGGCCCTGCTGTGCCAGAGTGGAGAAGAGCCAGTTCAGAGTCCAGCCCCTGGACTCTGGGAAGTGTCCACGTCTCAGCCCTGAGCCCCAGCTAGGCACCATGCTGTTCCCAAGAGGGGGGTGGCGTGCAAGAGGCTGGCTGGTGCCTGCCTCTCTGTGGTGGGGGAAGCTGTCTTCCTGTAGGACACATGCCGCTGCCTGCTCCCACCCTGGGAACGTGGCTAGGAGCAGAGCCGTGCCTGTCACAGCATGGAGAGGAGGGTGAAGTACTGGGGGAGGTGGGGTCTGTCCTCTCCTGTATGCATGGCAGTAGTGTGAATGGATTCCAGGGGTGTTGTATGGAGGGCATGCCTGATCTCCAGGTTCTGCTTTTCCATCCCTACAGCAGGAGCCTTTGCAGCAAGGGTCCAAGTGGGTGGCACTCTGTACAGGGTCTGGGGGACTCCTGCCAGTGGCAGGGGGGGAAGACCCTTGCCAGATTTGCAGAGGTGTCTGGTGTCTCCCCACTGCCAGGCACGGGTGGGAGCTCGCAAGTTCCAGAAGGTGATTCTGACAGTGTCTCCGAGGGGCATCTCGCTGCAGGATGCAGACACAAAGGAGATGGTTGAGAACATCTCCATCTACAGGTGAGCATGGTGTGTGGAGGGCCTGGGAGTTCCCCAGCAGCCAGCTGTAGACTGATGGCATCTTGAGCCGCCAGGGAGGGCTGGGCCTTCTCTCAGTGGTACCTTCAAGCTTAGGCCTTCCTTTGGCTCCCTGAGGCCCGTGCCCTCTCCCTGCCATGCCTCACAGCACTGCCGGGGGCTGAATTCAGGCAGGGTCCTGCGCAGCCTTGAGTTCTGGGTCGGTCCATCTGTCTTTTCCCTGGGCCCTGCTTGTCTCTTCTGGCATTCAAGCAGGATGTCGAGGCTGATGGTTGGAAAGCCCTCACAGCTAGGGCAGGACCGCACGCCTGGTGCTCTGCACTGACGCAGGACCGCCCTTGTGGCTGCAGTGGGATGAGGGTGCCATGGCCTGCAGCTTACTCAGCCTGCATAAAGGCAGCTGCTGTGAGAGCTGATGGGGGATTTACTGCTGCCAGCTGTGCTTTGGCTGGGTTGGGTGTCCATGGGTGTTGGGTGTGAGGGGAGCGTGGCTGCAGGTTGCTGGCTAGATGGGAAGCAGAGACAGGACGTCTCCTTGGTACAAAATTTGTGTCTCGGCACCGGAGCTGATGTGCCAAGGCAGACCATCCTACTGCCTGGCCTCCGATCGTGTCCATGGAGGCAATCACCCACCACTTCTGTGTTCCTTTTGTCTCAGTGCTTGAGTTCATACTTTGGGGTTGAGCTGGGCATCAGAGGACTGAGGAGCACCCTGGGGCAATGCAGGAGGGAATGCCTGTGGATGCGGTGATTTCTCACTAGCTGTAGGAGCCAGGCAGCCGCTGGCCCTCAATGGGGAGTTGGGCTGCCTGATCATCTGGGGCAGATGGAAAGCTCAGGCTGTCAGCACTGCTTGTCGGTGAGGAGAGCTGTGCTGGGGTCCCTTATTGCCCTGAGCAGTTCTTCTCTGCCTGCAGGATCTCCTACTGCACGACGGACAAGCTGCAGAACAAAGTCTTTGCTTATGTTGCCCAAAGCCAGGAGAGCGGGGCACTGGAGTGCCATGCCTTCCTCTCGCCCAAGAAGAAGATTGTAAGCACTTCCCTTCTGCTCTTGGCTGCGTGAGGTAAGGGTGGGAGCGAGGGCCTTCCTTCCCTCCCTTCAGAGAGAGAAGGCCCTTACCTCTGTGCACCCCAGCTGGAAATGGAGCCAGGGAGCACACGTGTGCTCAGGCGCCACAGAGGCGGGTGGTGAGCAGAAGGAGGTTCTGTCCCAGCTCCTCTGGGATCTCCTCTGGGGGATGGCTGGCCCTTGTGGGTAGACAGGCAGAGCGTTGAGCTCTGGCCTTCCATCTGTGTGCTCTGCAGGGACAGGCAGCCAGGGAGGCCTGGGGGCTCTTGGATCTCATGGCAATGGGGTCGTCTTGGCTTGAGGGAAGCAGACAGAAGCAGACATTCCCCCTCTTTCTTGTACACAGGCGCAGGCTGTGACTCTAACTGTGGCCCAGGCCTTCCAGATGGCACTGGATCTCTGGGAAGCAGCACATGCAGGTAGGAGGAATTTCTCAAACATGTCCCTCTGCCTAGCCCTGGGACCAGGGTCGCCAGTGTGGGACCCTGTTTTGGGCTGTGTGGAGGAGAGATGCTTGCTGCCTGGCTGGTGAAACACACCAGGCGGGGAGTGTGTGGTCCCCGCTGCTGTGTTCTCTGCCACTGCCCCACCTGAGGAGCTTGCCCGGTCTCTGGATGGGGTGGGGGTGTCCCTGCTATCCATGCTGAGCTCTCCTGCACTGCTGAGCTGTAGCACAGCTCAGGGTCCTGTGGTACCTGCCCTGAGCAGTGGTCCCCCACCCTTGTCCCTTGCCCACAGTCCTGCCTGTACATCCCCTGCTGGGCCTTCTCCAGGTTGCAGGCACTAACTCTGCTGCTTTTGCCCTGTCCCAGGCTCTAGGCAGGAACAGCCCCTTCACCCTTCATGTGTCTTGGAGAGCAGTGAGCCCAGCAGACCAAGTGAGCCAGCCCCCCCGGGGAGCCCTCCCTTCAGGCACCAGTTTGGGGTACAGTATGTGCAAGTCTGGCTCATGCCCAGGGCTGTCTCACGTTAGAGCAGGAAAAGAGTAACCCTTACACAGCTCCCTCCTCCTGGCCTCCCAGGGCCCTGTCAGAATCTGTGTGGCCTCCCTCGCACATGGTGGCCTGACGTGAAGAGGGGCGCGCTGTGCTCTGTCTGGGTCACAAGGCAGGCGCGGTTCCTCAGGTGGTCTTTGCTCCAGGAGCTCTCCTGTCTGACCCAGCGTTGCAGCAGCTCTCAGCCCCGCTCTGCTGGCCCGTCAAATAGGGAGCTGGGACCTGCTCTGCGCACTTGGTGCCATGGCTGGAGGGGACATTGTCCCCCTGAAGGAGAGGAGCCTTTGTCTGGTTGCTGTCTTGCCAGCCTGGGCTAAGGCTGGGGCTTGCCCATCTGCACTGCACCTACTGCGTGTCCAGAGCCAGTCAGACTGTTGCTGGTCTCACTGTGTCCCTGCCCAGGAGCCTCTGGACGCTTGTGCCTTGGCCTCGTGCTTGCAACACTGGTCCAGCCTGGCAGAGCTTGGGGTCATCCTTGCTTACAGCCTGCTCCCGTGTGGTCCCCTGCCTGGCCTTCAGCGGCAAGGTGTGCTCGCACCGCTCCCGTCTCTGGGCAAAGGTGCCCTGTGTGCAGCGGCTGCTCAGCTTGGCGGCTTGTTCCCTGCTCGCAGCCTGTGTTTGGTGCTCTGCTGGCTGGAGGGGACGTTGGAAGAGCCATGGTCTCTCTCCCCTTGTGTGGCTGAGTGCCCGAGCCCTGAGGATTTCAGCAGTCCAGCACTGCAGGTGCCATCTTTCCCCCTACTGCGGGTAGGCACCCTTTGTCGTGCCACGCTTGGTGGGTGACTGTGTCTCGTGAGGGGGCTGGGGACTGCCCTGCTGCTCCAGAACAGGCACTGAGCAGCCCAGACTCGCCCCTCGCAGAGACCTGCCCAGGCAGTGAGGTGTCATGGTGGTTTTTTGTTTTGGTTTGTTTGTTTGTTTGCCAGGAGGAGGAAGAGGAGGAGGAAGATGATAACATCGGTGAAACCTTATCCGGGTAAGTGGTGAGCTGTTGCTTGTGTTCAGGGATCTCTCTGGTGAACCCCATCTTACTTCCTTCTCTGCATCCCGTGCAAGGGGAGCAGCTGGGGCCACAGGCATGGTGGGAGCGTGGAGGAGATCTGCATGGGAGCAAGGAGGTGCTTCCTGCTGCTTTCCCTGCCTCTGTCAGCTGAGAGGTCGAGTGAACAGGGAGCTGCTGTGGAGGGGCAGATCTTGCGGTTCAGTTTTTGCAGTGGAGCTGTGCGGGACAGATGCTGACCCTTGGGATGTACCCAGAGATTCTACTTGTTCTGTTTCTACCACTCTTTGCTGAGGCCAGCCTATCCAGACACGCTTAGTATCATAGAACCGATTAGGTTGAAAAAGACCTTTTAGACCATTGAGTCCAACCTAGCACTGCCAAGCCCACCACTAAACCCTGTCCCTAAGCACCACATCTACACAGCTTTTAAATACCTCCAGGGTTGGAGGCTACACTACTTCCCTGGGCAGCCCCTTCCCTGGGAGCAGAGCCCAACCCCCCCGGCTCCCCCCTCCTCTCAGGCAGTTGTAGGCAGCGATGAGGGCTCCCCTCAGCCTCCTCTGCTCCAGGCTGAACCCCCCCAGCTCCCCCAGCCGCTCCCCAGCAGCCTGGGGCTCCAGACCCCTCCCCAGCTCCGCTGCCCTTCTCTGGACACGCTCCAGCCCCTCCAGGTCCTTCGGGGAGGGAGGGGCTTCTCAGGTGGGACTCGGAGTTGTCCAGCTCCTCTCACTGATTTCCCTGGGGCTTGGGCCAGGATGGAGGCTTGGTCATGCCGACTTCCGCATGGACGAGGGCCTGGGGCTGAGCTCGCTGGTGTCTGTCCTGTGCTTGGGAGGAGCTGACGGTACCAGTCCCACGGGGGAGCATTAACCCGTAGGTCTTTGCAGAAGCACCTGTGGTGGTGGGTGCACAAGGCCTGTGCCATTGTGGCTGTTCTCCATGCACCTGGCAGCGGGCACCCGTCTGGGGTCGGTCAGTGCCGCAGGCTGAGGCTGGTCTTAGCTGGTGTCAGCCAGGAGCCAGGGCATGCACAGCCCAAAGCTGTGTCTGTGGCCCTGTGAGGTGGCTGCCCTTTGTATGTGTGGGGTCCTGATGTGGAGCTGTGGCTTTGCCCAGACCCCAGGCTGGTCTGGGGAAAGGGTTTGGTAGTGAGTGGATTAGGGCCGTCTGTACTTCCAGTGCCTGGCACTGCTGCCCCATGCCTTGCGTTGTCAGCAGGCCTTGCTTGGGGTATGAGGGGTGCTCTGTTCTCTTCCAAAGCAGCATGGAGGAGCTGGGGAGGGGAGCCCACAGCCCAGCAGGTAAGCTTTTCCGTTCAATCCTGCTTTACTATATCCCCCAGCATGTCCTCTGCAGGGGGAGGGGGCTGGTGGCTCACTTGGGAAGGTCTGCTTTTCCTCCCAGGCTGTGCTGGGTTCCCAACTGCATGCTTCATGGACTGTGGTCTTCCTCCCTCTTGGTTTTCAGAGTCCGCACCTCTTGTGCCCAGAGTGAGCTCTCCTACTGCACAGCTACTGTGCTACCGCTTGGGGCAACCCCCAGACGGCTGGAAGGGGCTGGGAGGGGTTGGAGACCTCCCTGCAGCTGGCCCCAAGACTCCCCTGGGCTAAGCTAAATCTCTGCAGCAATGGACCAGCCACTCAGGATTCACCCTGTGCCTGCACCCGGGCCGCACAGTGCCTGCCCCTGCCCCCTGCACTGCCCACCAGGCACGGGGGCTGCTGGCACCGCTGCCACCAGTTGCACAGACTGCGCTGCCTGCTCCTTGTCCTGCTCTCTGCCCGCATGAACCACCTCAAGCTGCAGCTGCTTCCCGCTCCCAGCTTGGGCCCGTGGACTGGTTCTCCCTGCTCTGCCCACTCCCAGCGAACACAGAGCTGCTCCACATGCTCTGAGCCTGCAGGATGCAGCCAGGGTGTCTGGGACTGCGTTGTGTCTGACCTGCCCTGCTGCTCCTGGAGGCAACTGGGGACCAGCTGAGGCTGAGCAGCCCCCTGGCCCTGGCGGAGGACTTGCTCGGCATGTGTGACCCTCGGGGAGCAATAGCTCTTGGCCTGGAGGAGGGAGTGAGGAAGGACTTGCCCCTGCATTTCAGCCCCACACCCTCTCACGAGTGAAACGAGCTGGTTTTTAAAGGAAAGCTCTGCCTTTATAGGGAAATAAACTGATTTTTTTACTGTTGTTATTGGGGTTTGAGTGCTGAATGGAGTGCCATGCACAAGTGTGCAGGGTGCTGTGCTGACTGTGGTGAGGTGCCCTGGGCTGTGCCCTGAGCTGAGGGAGTCTGCAGCTGCCCTGGAGCCCCCTCTTCCTTGGCTGCTGGCCCTGAGTGAGCTGTTGCCCTAGGGCAAGGGTGGCCAGGCCCCAGGGTGAGGGTGGCCCTTGTTATTTGGGGGGCAGCTGGTCCAGGCTGTGCTGGACTGCTGTGTCTGGAGCACTGTGAGTGTCATCTGCACCCACAGGAACTGGCAGCTGAGCACGCTGCGGCCAGGGAGGACACAGGCGCCTTGGTGCTGGGTTCCTGTCCCAGCAGCACATCTCCCCCTCTAAGGCTGGTGGCACTGGCGGCCTCAGCTGAGCAGTGCGCCCTGTCTGCAGTTTGGGCAGCAGAGCTGGTGTCCCAGCGAGCGCGGTGGGCGGGTGCTGGGGGGGGCTCACACCCTGGGGGAGGCCTGAGGTCGGGCAAGAGCTGCCTGCTTCTTCTCACTTGTGGTTTTGCCTGTCGAGTCCTGGTCTCGTGGCTCCCCTCCCACCGCGGCAGGCACAGCGCAACCTGTAGATGTTGTTGGGGTTCCTAGGGCGAGCAGGTCATTGTCAGGCCCTCAGCTTCCAGCACTGAGGGATGGCTGACCTGTCAGTGGTCTGGGTTTAATAGCCCTTGATGCAGCCTCCTGCCCTGCACCGAACCGGGATGCTTGGCATCCACACTGTCCTGCAGCGGGGTACCGCGGGTGGTGCTGGGGGGATGAGCAACGATGCTGCTAATGCCAGCACTGGCTGATTGCTTCACTCACCTTTCGCTCTGGTCACCACCTCCTGCGGCCGGGGTGGGCAGTGGGCGCTGCCCTGCTGCCCGATAGCTGTCACATCTCCAGGCAGAAGTGCTCCAAGCAGCTTCACAGCCTCCCTCCCATGGCTGCTGCAGCGTGCACTTTGCTGGGCCTGTGCCGAATGCTGCAGCCCTGTGGGCTTCTTGCAGGACTTCACAGGTGCTGGTTCTGCCATTATTTCTGGCTTTAACCAGCTGCTGCTGCAATGAGTTAACTGCCGCCCCCCCCCCAATCTCAGCCGCGTGTGTGTGAGCCTTTGCCAGGTCTGTTCTGTTTTAGCCATGCACAAGCAAGCAGTGGGTGCCCCATCACCCACACATATGCTAACACTGTCAACATCTCTTAAACTGGTGCAGCAGAACTGCTCCACACGAGCCAGACAGCCCTTTCCGTGTGCCACCGAGGTGCTGGTGCTGCAGGGCGGGGGGGTGTGTGTGGGGGTGGGGTGTCTGTACGCATGTGCATGTCCCGCTCTGCCCTGGCACTGCCGGGCATTTGCAGGGTCCCACGCTGGTGCTGCCAGATTCATTTGCACCGTGTGTACGTGCCCCAGAAAATACCTTTGTCCAACACTGCTGCTGCCTTTCCTGTGCAGCAGCCATTGCTGCAGCTCACTGCTACGGTCTGAGGCAGGAGTGGTGGCTTGGGGTTGGGTTTTTTTGGGCAGGGTAGTGTCTGTCTGTGTGAACACTGCATCCCAATTTTACATTTAATGTGGCAGACTTTTGTGGTCCTTTTCTCTTTGGCCACAACCACTGCTTTTTGAGATTTTTTTTTTTTTTTTTTGGTGCCTCCCCCAGTTCCTCAGCTCTGCTGCAGTCATGCACCTTTGTTTCTTTGTGGGCGCCTCTGGGCTGGTTAAAGACCTCAGGATGGTAGACATGCATCTGTGCTGACCCTTCAGGGCAGCACCGCTAAACATTTTCCAGGGCACCAGAGCTCTTTAGAAACTGTTGTCTTTTCCTGACAGCCCTCATTTTTTTAATATATGTATGTCCCTAAAACCCAAAAGTTAGCTGCCAAAACAAAAAGTGGTTTGTCTCGCTGGAGCTATGGCCACGCTCTCTGCAGCTCAAGTTACAGCACAGCAGCACTTGCACCCCACCACCATGGTGCTTTTGCTCCTCAGGTGCCCCCTCCTCACCTGCCCAGGGAGCACCACAGCCCCCTCCGGCCAGTAGCCTGTTGGGGTCTGGCCTCATCCCCCTTCCTGGCGCTGCCGGCAGGGTGCCTGTGCTCTCCGCAGCCTCTGCGTTTGTGCGGAGAGCGCAGCTGTGCCGCCATCCTCAGTGGGCCAGTCTGTAACCGCAGCTTGTCCAGCAGCGTGACACGGCCCAGCACGCAGCACTGGCCCTCCCTCGAGGAGCTGCAGGACAACCTGCAGCCCCTGCACAGCATGCACGAACAGGTCTCCTGAGGGCCATACAGATGTGTTCAACAAGTGCTGGTACACGCACACGCGCGTGCACACACACATACAGAACTACAACTCTGCAGGGACAATGCTGCCTTTGAGCCAGGATGCTTTTATTGAAAAGACCCTGCCGCAGGGATTTGCTTATCCTGTCCCTTCGCCACCTAGTCCTGCAGCAGGAGCTGAGCAGCACCTGGAAGGAAGAGTCCTGAAAGTGCTTTACTGGGATGTTTATTCCTGGAAGACGCTGGATCCTGTGATGCTCGAGTCCAGGGCGGCACAGCCAGCACCCCAGCTCAGTGACAGGCCGCAGAGCAGAGCATGGAGGGAGAGCAGCAGCCAGGGCACCAGCTGCCATCTCTGCAGAGCACCTCCTCATATCACCCTGTTCCCTCCTACTGCCGGCAAGAGGGTGCGTCTGGGCCCGGCCTCAGCCTCGGACACAGCAGTGCCGAAACTCAGTGAGCAGCTTCTGCCCGCAGGCTCTGGGGAGCAAACAAGCACAGTCCAGACATCACCTCTTCACCTGCCCCAGGGTGGTCAATGGCTCACGTCCGTGCACAAGCAGGAAGACTGGACAGAAAACAGCGAGCCAGTGGCCCACCAGCTCTGGGCTGTGTCACATGAGCCAGCCTGGTGCAGGCCACGGGACCAGCTCCAGGAGCGGAAGCATCAGCAGTGACCATGCCCCCGCAGGACAGAAGGAGCCAAGAGTGGAATGCGATGCTGTTGAAGCTAGGGCTGACCCCAGGGTGGTGATGAGCTCCGCAGCTGAGGCCCTGCTGGCCTCACCACGCCATCCCCTCCAGGCAGCGCAGGCAATCGCACTGCTCGCAGGGCGCTCAGCAGCTCCCCCGCAAACAGCTCCAACACATCAGGACCGAGCCCAGTGAAGGAAACCCTGGCACTGCCCGCTCCCACAGCTCTATGGGGCTGACAGCGCCCTGCAGAACGGCTCCTGCCAGCACTCCCTGCCCCGGCTGCACGCTCTGCAGGCCGGCCAGGCACTGTGCCAGCACTCGCTCCTCTTGCGCGTTTGTGTCTTTGTCCCCTGCAGCAGGCAGAGGCCTTGAAGCCCCTGCATGGCAACGATGGGGTGCAGTGGAGCCCTGTTCTCCAGCAGGGATCCACTCTTCAGCTGTGCTTGCTGGGCCCAGCCCCACAGACAAACCCTCCTGTCACACATCCACAACTTCCCTGGGGGCGCTGGGGCAAATGCCTGCACTGCCCCATCCCCTCGGTCTCAGGGCCAAAAGGGGAGCAGCTCCCGCCCTCTACAGGCAGCCCTGGGAGCCCAGACACGGTGGCTGAGGTCTGCTCCAGGCTGCCTGCACATGGTCGCACCCGGGACTTTGGCCAAGCCAGTGCACGGGGACGTTGCCTCCCCTCGAGCCAGCGCGCCAGCCCCTCTGCTCCCCTGGGCTTGCCCCCGTGGGCTGGTGGTGTGGCCCCCCCACCCTTTCTCAGCTCCAAGCTCTGCAGCGGCAGGGGAGCGAGGCCAGGCATGCGGGATGGGCAGGGCCGCATACTGCATGCACGTCGGGGAGCTGGCTCCATGCCCACCCCCGGACAGGCGCCCTCGGGAAAGCGTAAGTTCTGGTACATGGATCTTCGCATGCAGAGGTCCAGGCTGGGTGCCTCGTGCTGCCTCTTCTTCCAAGGCCTGTTTTGGCTCTGACAGGACGCCCAGGACTCCAGATGCAGAGCTGGTGCTGCACTCACACCTCGATTATATTGACCGAGGGAGACTTCTTCTATGAGAGAAAAATCTGCTTTAAGGCCCTGCTTTTCTAAGCCCCTGGGATGCAGAGCCCCCAGCCTCCCACGGCAGGCGCCAGACCAGCACACCTCCCTGCAGAAGGGCTGCCAGCTCCAGCTGAGCCCTCTGCCCTGCGGTCTGGGCGAGCCGCAGCAGAGACCTGGCCTCAGCAGCCCCCTTGGGAGACCCTGGAACCCCAGCCTTCTGCACTCGTGCGCTCTCCCAGCAGAAGGGTTCCGGCAGCTCAGCTGTGTCACCTGGTGCCTCCCTCCAGGTGAGTCTCTTCAACCACACACTTGCCTCCCCAGGAAGCCTTTCTGCCCACTGCTGTGCCCCAGTACTCCTGGGTGAACCAACCCCCCCTGCCCCTCACTTTTCAGCCTCCAGAGTTTGCAGATGTCTGGTGACTTCTATCTGGTCTCTAGTAGTAGCCATGCTACACCTGATGCCACTGGGGAGCAGGCAGGTGCAGGGTCAGAGCAGAAAAGGTGCGCGAGGGGACAGGAAGACATCTGCCATGGGGCAGAGAACCCAGAAAGCACAGGATGACTGGCATGGAGGGATAGATGAGGCCTGCTGAGCGCCAGGCACGTCTCACTGCCATGCCCACCACGACAGCTCTGGCGCGTGCCAAGGGCACTAAAGGCTGCAGGGGGCAAGGTTTATTTTCTCAAAAACTGTTGCAAGCACAAGCAGGAACTTTCCTCTACGCAAAAAGGAATGTGCTCACTGAACAGCACAGCAGATATGTGAATTCAGAGAAGGTGCTGGGGAGGGAAGGGGTCCTGGTTGCTGCACACGTTTTGTTGCTCAGTCCTTTCATGCTGAAGCAGGGTGCAGAAGGCAAGTGTCCCCATGACCATACTTTATAACAGGGCTCAGATCAAGAGCTGCACTGTTGTCTGCTACTTTACAGCAGCTTGGCCCTGAAGCCAGGAGGGGAAGCAAATGCAGAGCCTTTTCTTTCCTATGCCTTTTTCACAGTTTTGTAATTAAGGACTGCAAGAATAAGCTTGCAGTGTTGTCATCTGCAAGGATGCCAAGAGCATGGTGAATGCAAAAAGACAAACCGAGGTGCATCAGCCCTGTAGAGGTGTACATCACAAGCAGCAGGACAGGCCTTTGCAGCCCTGTATGAGCAGGGATCAAGAGGAGGGATCTTTCTGGAAAAGAGTAATCACAAAGCTGGAAAATCTGGAGGAGGAGAATTGGGACCTTGAAGTCCAAACAGGAAGTTTCTGTTCCTGGCATCTGCTGGAAACCAAGACGTGGAAGCAGAGGGGCAGTTAGGCAACACAGTGAGTAGAGGTCCCACCATCGATAGAGGAGGCAGATGAGACACAAGGCAAAACCTCACGCAAGGTCCCATTAGAGCACGGGCATCAGGGTTATAAATCACTGTCTGTCAAGTAACAAAGGGAGGAGTGTCAGGTGCTGAGGGGACAGCCAGATGAAGGTACTGCTCCCTCCCCATCCACAACCTGGCACAGTACCTCCATCAGGGTGAGGAAGGGGCTCTGGGATCCTTCCCATCAACGATGTGAGTGGTGATGGCCTGAAGCAGGCCACAATGAAGGCAGAAAGCGAGCAGTGATAAAGCAGTGCAGGAACTGCAAGAAGAGCTGCCCAGCTTGTCTGTCCTGTTCAGGCAGGAGATAGACCTCTCTACGGGATGCAGAAGAGGCGCAGCCTTGGAGGGGCATGGTGAAGGGGCTCTTGCAGTGAGAGGACAGGTACCACCCTGCAATGTGGGAGCCATCCCAGCTGATATATCCTGGTGTCTCTTCCAATGTTTCTCCTGCAACCACCCATGGGGCACGCACACTGCCCCAGAGAGGCCAAGGCTCACTGCACCCTAAAACCCCTCTGTTTTCAGGGTGAGAGCGTGAGCTGGGGTGTTTCTGTTTCTGGAGAGAGCCAGAACCTGTCCAGGCAGCAAGCCACAGCAGATGTCACACACCAGCCCTCCCGCCAGCCCTCCCCACTCACCTTGCTCCGCAGCAGCCCTCCGCTCGGTCGCTCTGGAGTGCTGTGCTCTGAAGACGGCTTTGTCTTTTCCTTGTTGTTGTTGGAGTCGTTGTCCTTGATGATGTCATACTGTCTGCAGAAGAGGGCGATCACCGCTGCCAAAAGACAGGGGATGAAGGACTCCCTCACACTGCCTGCCCCCTGCCTCCCCTCCCCACAGCATCCCAGCTGGAGAGCATCAAGCCCAGGGCACCCTGGTGTGCTGGTCACCCACATCCTCTACCCATGTCAGCCTGGACCAGCCCAGGCACCTCTGCCCATGTGGCCAGGCCAGTCTCCTTGGGCAGACAAGTCACGGATGTGGCTAAAGCTATCGGGGCACACGGGAGGTGCTCGGTACCTACGGCTCACGGCTCTGAGTCCGAAGGCAGATGTTAAGGCACTCGGAGAGGGACAGCCCTTGAGGTCAGCGAGCAGCTGAGTAGGTTTCTGAGTGTCTCCAGCAAGGCACTAAAGTTATTGGTCCAGTGCTTGCGACCCTCACAAAAGCCAGCCCTTGTCCTGTCTTGCAAACTGACGGTGGGATCAGCCACTCTGTCGTGGTTTCACAGCACCCATCTCACGCAGCACACGTCCCACACCTTGGGACCCTGGGTGCAGGACTCCGGAGCAATGCTTTGAACTGCAACCATTAGATGTGTTGGGCCCATTCAAACCACAGTGTGTTACCACAGCCACCCCAGACTGGACCTGACTTCTCCCTGTTGGCACGCTGACACACCAACCTGCACGAGGTGTAAGCTAGCAGCAGCTGCCTTGTATTTTCTTCCAGTGCACTAGAAAAGTGCTCAAGGCCAGGACAAGGAGACACTCCTGCAAGATGCCACTAGAAAATCCACACTGACTGGGAAGGGAGCGGTGGACAAGTGACTTCCCATTCACAGCAGCTGCATGTGACCAGTCAGGAGCTGACTTATCTCCTAGGCTTCCTTGCTCCCAGGGCAAGAGCACTGCTAGAGCACTGCTTTAATCAGGTGCCATACAGGAGCAAATCACCCATCACAGTTTTAGCAGATTGAGGCACAGCCACTACCAGCCATCGCAGCAGTGTCGTCAGATGTCAGGCAAGCTAGCTAAGGCCCACGGGTCCATGACAGCTAACGTCAGCTGGGACGCTCCCACCCTGTAACTCTGTATTGTTCCACATTGTCTCCTACTCCTCCAGCACAGCAGTCAGTCCAGCCAGCCCACACGCTCCAGGCCATCGCTGCTGAGCAGCGACTGTGGTTGCTCCTTTTACCCCACTGGCTCAAACTCCTACAGACTCAGAGGGCTTACTGGAAAGGATGCCATGCCAGTACGCCTCTGCACTCTCTTGAGCCCCGTCTTCTTTGCAGACCCCGGATTGCACCTCTGCCCCAGCCTGCCAGAACATTTCTCATGGCACTCACCTGCCCACATGAGCAGCACAGCCACAATGATAATAATCTCGCCTGTCTGCAGCTGCCTGTCTTTGTCCAGTCCTTCCATGGTGATGTCACCTGCAGCGAAGAGAACCCAGGCAGGGCTGGCAGCAGATACCCTCCCACCAGAACCTGCTTCAGGATCAGCAACACTCAAGGGTCTGAGAAGGAGCTCCAGAGGAGCGTGGCCCACCTCCCCCCAACAAGGACGGGTGTGGGATGACATCTTGACTGGGGAGAGGACACACAGCCTGTGGCTGTCCTCTGTCAGATAAACCATCCTCGCTCCCAGGGGCAGTCAGAGATTCTCACAGCTTGTTTGGGTTCAAGCAGGGGCTGCACCATGCATGGGAGTAATCACTGAGGTTACTCCGTACGTAGGCACCAGGGCAGGTTAGGAAGGCACCGAGTTGAACACAAAAGTTCTAAGCCATCTGCTTGCCCTGTTCTACTCTTCTCAAGTCCCCCTCTTATGGCTAGTGCTGAAAACAGACTCCCATGACTAGTGGACACCCTCGGGGCATCATCTCTTTTGGATTCTTGGATCGTGTCTCACGGACAAGCACGTAGGCATCCCCCAGGCAAGAAGGCACAACATGGGTATAAGTGGGAAAGGAGACTGTGGGGCTCCATCGTTTGTCCCTTGGTAGCTTGCAGGCTGGGAGATCTGAGACCCTTTCAGTATTTGCTTCCTATGGGCAGCAGCTGAGCAGGCCACAGCAGTTGTCCTGGCCACAGCCTGCTTAGCTGAATAGGGTGCCAAGCCCTGGGATGGGAGGGATGGATACCAGGGCTCAGGGACATTGTCATGGCCACAGCGGACACAACAGCAGCCTGTACAACTCTGCTACGCGCTACGCCCCTGGGTGTCCCAAGCAGCCCGCTGCTCAGGGCAGCACCTCCCTCGCTGGCTGCTGGGTCCCTGCCCGTGTGCCACGGAGGCCTCCCCGCGTGGCCGTGCCAGCAGCAGCCGGGTGGGCCGGGAACGCTGCCTCACCTTGGTTGGAGCTGTTGGAGGGGAGGCGGTCGGTCTCCCTCCGGGCACGGGAGTG